GTTCAAAGTTCTGGGACCGTCCCCTGAGCCTGCTTGGTCCAGTATACTTTGTTGTTGTTGGTGGAGCTCCTTTATTGCACTTCTACCCGATCCGCCATCTTGTTTGTTCTCTTGCATAGCGTTTTATTTTCTCATTATATCAATGCTATATATGGTGGTACTTTTATGGTACCAGCTGTATAGATAAGGAAATTGAAGCTCAGAGAAGTTAAGTAACATAGCGTGTGTGAAGAAGTCAAGTGTTGAATGCAAAGCATCTATGTCAGTTAATACTGCCTCTCTTAAGAATGGTGCTTGGGAAAGTGCTTTGGGAATTGTGAAACAGTTATTATTTACTTATGGGTAGGACACCCACCAACAGTGATAATAACTCATGAGGATGCTCAGATCTACATAAATAACAAATTAAGGAGATGAACATGGGGCAGGGAGAGGAGAAGAACCTTCCCTAGACATGCTTTAAGGCCAGTCTTCTAAAGGGAGACCTCTTTAAGGAAATTGTGAGTCTTTTGTTGTTAAGTGCCGTTGAGTTGGAACTGACCCAGTGTAGGGTTTCTGAGGCTGTAAATCTTCACAAGAACAGAAGGCCTCATCTTTTTCCCATGGAGTGGCTGGTGGTTTGCACCTCTGACTTTGTGATTTGCATCCAGTGCTTATCCTACAGAGCCATCGTGCTCCCAAGAGTTTCTTTCGAGGCCCCTAATATTGACTCCATGGCACATAACCACCACCACCAATATTGGTTGCGGAAATGCTGTGTGCCAGGCTCAGAGCTAGGTCTAGTCTCATTGTTTGTTGTTGTTAAGTGTCATCAAATCAGTCTTGACTCCTAGTGACCCTCTATAGGGTTTCCAAGGCTATAAATCTTTGTGGGAGCAAACTCATCTAATTATTTTTCCAATCCTGGGATTTCTCAAGTGATTCTGTTAGGTAACCTGATGCATAGAAGACTAAAAGCAAATTAGCTTCATACCTCCCAAAAGATTGGTTGTCTAGCAAATGTATTTATTTTGTGAAGTCAAAACAGTGTGGTGTTTTGTTGTTATTGTTTATTTGTAATCAAACAAAAATGCAAAGAAAATGTTCCTGACAGGATAATAAGCCCTTATGTATTATTTGGAAGAAGAGCTAAACTTCTCCAATTAGAAGGCTCCAAAGCCAGGAGTCTAAACAACAACAACAAAACCCCAAAAAACTCAAATCTACTGCTATCTAGTTTGTTCCAGCTCATCACAAACCTATAGGGTACAGTAAACTGCTCAGAGGGCTTCCAAAGCTGTAAATCTTTAAGGAAGAAAACTGTTTCATCTGTCTCCCACAGGGCAGCTGGGTTCAAACTATCCGTTTTTGGTTAACAGCCAAGAACTTAACTACAGTGCCCCCAGGCTCCTGCCAGTAGCCTATTTATTCTGACTCTGGTTTTTAAAAACTCATTACTAAAAGACTCTGTCTTTATAATAAGAGCAGTTTGATTTATCTTCTGCTGTATACAAGTATGGATTTAGTTAAAAATTCATTCCTTGTTTTGTGGTGGGGGAGAAGTGGAACATTACCAAAAAGGATCAAGCCCAATTTTCATTTCTGCTTCAAGTCTCAACTGGAAAAATTATTGAACTTAGCTTTGGGGTGAGTCACTGAACTTCAGACACTTGTTTTCCTGAAATAGTTCTGTTTGTATCTTTCAGACAGAGGATTACAAATTCAAAATTTCCTGTGGCCCCCTGGTGGCACAGTGGGTTAAGTGTTGGTCTTCTAACAGAAAAGCTTGGTGGTTTAGATCCACCAGCCACTCCTCTGGAAACGCTATGGAGTGGTTCTGCTTTGTTCTGAAGCACGACTTGCTATGAGTAAAAATCAACTTAATGGCAGTGGGTTTGGCTTTCTTAGTTTTATATTTTGTCATGCCTGGCCTGTTTTAAACATATCGATAAAGTTTGATGAATGAATTGATCTGTGCTTGAAGACAGATTGATATAGTAGAAAGGGGCTGGATTTTACAATGATCTTGGGTTTCAGTTGTGACTCTGACATTTTATTATATTTTTTTCCTTGAACAAATTACTTTGTGACCTCAGTCTCATAATTTGTAGAATGGGGTTGGTAATACCTCGCTCACTGGAGTATCATAAGGAATCAATAAGATGAAATAGCTGGCATGGTACAGGACTCAAAGGAAACACTCTGTAAATATTCATTCTTGTCTTTTCTTTTGGTGTCATAAGCAGTGCCACCAACTCAGGAACTATGTCCTTTAAGTCCACAGGGGATCTCCTCACTCTCCACCCATGATGGTGGGAATTAGAACATTAATTTTTCACCACTGGACTGAGCCAAAGTTGCTTTCGGTTCTTGGGTTGTATGAAGACTCTGAGACACAACTGTGTGCTGTATCAAACACCAATCAGAAGAGACAATTGGAGGGTTTTTTTTTTTCTCTTCCACAGGACTGTGCTTAAGAGTAAAACTTCAGCGGTGTTTACCATTTAAACATAAGGTAAGATTGACTCTTTTGTTGTCTTTTTATACCTTTTATTGAGCTACAGTCATATACCATATACTTTACCCATTGAAACTGTATAATTCAGTGACTTTCAAGGTACCAGGTAAGTAAAAAAAAAATTGCTACTAGGTTTCCAGTTCATATGTGTACAGGTTTAGTCCAAACAAAACGTATTTAAACATGTCTCTGATCAAGGGATAGCTGCAAACAAGTTCTCTGAGTAATACATTTGTCTTAGTCTCATTAGGGTACCTTACAAAAAAACAGTCCAATCAAAACAGTGGCTTCTTAGGGAGTCTGTTGGGCCAGTTCAATTCAAGCCAGAGAGGTAAGCTCAGAAGTTTATGGAGACTTTTTTTTTAGGATACCAAAGGAGTAATCTTGATTGATTTTCTCAAAGGATGCAGGACAATCACAGAGACTTATTAGAAGGAAATAGTATAAACAAACAAACAAACAAACAAAGTGGAAAACTGCTTTGGTGAGGAAAAGTCCAGGAAAGTTGCACTGAGGAATTCTTTTCCATCACAATGGGGCACCTGCTTATTATTCAATTCAGCATGGACTTATTATTCAGCATGGACTGTCCTATGAGAATTTAGTTTGGAAATGTTATCCCATCCAGCCTACAGCCGTGGTCTTGCCCCTTCAGACTTTTTTTCCCCAAACTTAAAGAACATTTAAAAGAAACACAATTTGCGTCACTTGAGGATGTCCAAACTGCTGTATTGATGTGTAAATTGAAGAGCACAGCATTCTTTGGGGAAGGTATTTTTGTTTAATAAAAAGGGTTCTGTAATTTTGTAGCAATACTTTTTGACTTACTCGCATTTTCAGAGCTGTACAACTATCACCACTATTAATTTTAGAACATTTTCATCATCCCTTAAAGAAAACTTGTGCCCAGTAACAGTTACTCAGCATTCTACTCCTTTTGTCTTCAGCCATCCCTCAGGCAATACCCAACCATAGTCAATAACTAATCTCCCTCTTTAAAAATTTTTTTTTCTTCTTGCAATTATTAGCTGAAGAAAGTGGGCTATTTTCCCCACACAGGTCCTGGAATTCAACCATTTCTTACAGTCCAGATTTTGTTGATTTTTTTTCCTCCCATGTCATTTTATACATCCCTTTGCCCCTTTTATTTCCTAGACATTGTAGTTAGATTAAGATACTTACTTGAGCAGGATCAGAGTCTTTCTCTTGCTCTCTTTTTAGCAGGCTCATTTTGTAGGTGGTATCGTACATTTCCTACTGCCTCACATTGTTGTTGTTAAGTGCCATCGAGTCATTTCCGACCCGTAGCGACCCTGTATAGCGTTTCCAAGGAGCAGCTGGTGAGTTTGAACCACTGATCTTGCAGTTCAAACAACTTTGCAGTCTGATTCATTAGCCCACAACGCCACACCAGGACTCCACTGCCTTGCATTAGGAGACATGATATCTGATTGTCTTTTTGGCTCATTAAACTTGATCAGTGGGTTCAGGTGTTGTCAGCTTGATGTATCCATTTATAAAGCTCCTTGTCAGCCTTTCATGCTCATTTCTAAACAACCTCTGATGATCATTGCCTAGCTTCCTTAATCAGGAACTTGTCAAGTGGTGGTGTTCTATGATCTCTTATTTTTTTCTTAATGGAAATTTTTACTGACTTCTCATCAACTGTTCAATGTCTCTGAAGTATAGTTAATATAGGAATAACAAGGTAAATGCTTGAATCTACATCTTTGTTGTTGCTGTTAAGTGTCTTTGAGTTGGTTCCAATTCATAGCAGCCCTTTATAAGGTTTCCGAGGAGCAGCTGGTGAGATTGAACGGTGTAAGAGCTCTTTTTCTAGCTTCAGATTCCAGGATTTTCTCCTGTGTTTTTAAGCCCGGGTATGGGAATGTAGGATAAACACTAGACTCGTAACCACAAGGTCTACAGCTCAAACCTACTAGCTTTTCTCAGAAACCCTATACAGGATCCTTATGTGTGGGAACTGACTGGAGAGCACACAACAACCTTGTGGTTAGCAGTCCAATGCTTATACAGCGCCACACGAGGACTTCATTTTTAGTTACTGTTCTTTTAGAATAATGTTGTTGCTGTTGTTAAGTGCCGGTTCTGACTCATAGCAACCCTGTATAGTGTTTCCGAGGCTTTAAATCTTAGTGGGCAGAATGCCTCATCTTTTTCCTGCACAGCACCTGGTGAGCTCAAACTGTCGACCTTGTAGTTCACAGTCCAGTGCTTATCCTACAAAGCCACCACACTCCCTTAGAATAATGAGTCATGAATAATTATACACTGAAGTAAAAGAGTATATAGTAATTCCATTCCTGCTCTAGAATAACTCTGGAATAAGAGTTAGCATTATGCCACTAGGGGAATTAATCTGATATTCTGTCTTAAAAAAAAAAAAAAGGATGAATGAGATGATCTCTAAGGTCATTTCAAGCTTAAATAGGTGACAGTCATTTTCATCCATGGAAAGCATTTATCTCAGTAGTAAATAAGAATTAGTTACGCTGTTCCGTTGTCCTGTGGACAGGAGACATGCCTTTATTTAACATAGCATGCTTTCTTTGCCAAAGGATTTGCAATAATTGCTATGGCTGCTTCAAAAGCTCTGGTTTCTAGTTGTTGTTAGATGCTGTTGAGTCACCTCTGACTTATAACGACCCTATACACAACAGAATAAAACACAACCTAATCCTGTACCACCTTCACAATTGTTCAATGAGCCCATTGTTGCAGCCACTGTGTCACTGGTTCTTAGAGGTTAGCTAATATGAGGAGGGGCAAGGCCAGAGGGATGTTGTTGTTAAGTGCTGTCAAGTCAATTCCAGCTCATAGTGACCCTATGTGCATCAGAACAAAACACTGCATGATCTTGTACCATCCTCACAATTGTTATTTTTGAGCCCATTGCCGCGGCCACTGTGCCAGTCCATATCATTGGGGTCTTCATCTGTGACCTTCCACTTTACTAAGCATGATGGCCTTTCCAGGGACTGGTCTCAGGTCTTCATGGGGGGACAGGAGGCAGCTTTGGGCCCCTACTTGCCGACGATGATGAGTGGGTTCCGCAGGGCACAGGGATGACAGTCCCCACGCTGGAACATCTTGGACGTGTAGCGGTCCTTGTTGACAGGCTTGAACTTCTTGCCTTGCCACTCTTGGGGACTTCGGTCCACATCTCTTTCACATTCTCCAGCACCATGCTGCAGTGTCTGTTGAAAGCCTTCACGTGGCCCAGCGCTTCTTGTTGTTGCGACAGTTGATGAACACATGAGCACCAACAGGG